AAGCTAACTCATTGGCCTGTATCTGTAAGCTGCTTCTAGCTCCGCAGCGCCTTTGCTGCTAGAAATAAGCCTGTTTGCAGTCACCACTAGTTAGCCCCCCCCCCCCCCCCGGAGCTGTATCCTGGGCACACACCACTCTGCCCTCTGGCACTACCCCTAGTATAAGGTGCACCCATTAGGTTAGATTTAGCCTTTAGTCTAGATAAATTGTAATTTCACTTTGAATTGTTGTGGTTAAGTTAGGTTTAGAAAATTGCTTGCATTGTACTCTGTAAGTTAGGCTTAAAGAATTGTTGCATTGTGTTTTGTTACTTGCTAATTTGTGTAGTCTTGGTTAAGTTAAATCATAGATAAGATTTTGCTGTGTTCTGTATAATTGTCCCTCTGCTGTTTAAACTTGCAGCCTGTCTGCTCTCTGTATCTCTCTCTCTCTCCCTTCCCCCACGTGCTCACCCTGCTCCTACTGCTGCCAGACCTCAATTGTATTACTGAAGTCTAGCATAAAACCCCATTGGTTACCCCTTTTCTCTCTAACACCCCTCACATTTTACATTTACACCACTGTGACACATTTTTACATAGAGTTGTTGGTTATTTAACACATTTTACCCATAACTGTCAGTTGGTTATATGCTGCTGTGACACACCCTTTACATAGAAACTGTTAGCTACCTGTTACATTTATACTTCAGTGTTAATTGGTTACCAACTGTATTGTACCCCACTATTGAAACCCCGTATCCTATTTACTAAAAGAAACCCCTCCCCAATTGTCTACCTTAACAAACTCCATAGCCCTCACTATTAAATTTTCCCTGTTTTTGCATTTTCTTAATAAAGTTTATTTTACACCCCACCAGTGCAGTAGTTGTCCCCCAAGATCCCCTATCTGCTGGCAGGGTCACTAGCCAGCTTTCTGTCCACCTTATAGTCCATTCATCCAATCCATACTTTTTTAACTTGCTGGGAATAATACTGTGGGAGACTGTATCAAAAGCTTTGCTAAAGTCAAGATATATCACATCCATTGCTTTCCCCATATCTACAGAGACAGTTATCTCATCATAGAAGGCAATCAGGTTGGTCAGGCATGACTTTGCCTTGGTGAATCCATGTTGACTGTTCCTGATCACCTTCCTCTCTTCCAAGTGCTTCAAAATGGTTTCCTTGAGGTCCTGCTCCATGAGTGATCCATCTTCTGGCCATTGCAAGTTTAGGAACACCCAGAGCATGAGGTTGTGTCCCTGACCATCACTCAGGGACCTATCTTCCATTAACTTATCTACTTCTTTTTGGCCTTCACAACATCCCCTGGCAACAAGTGCCACAGGTGGACTGTGTTGTTTGAAGAAGTACTTCCTTTTGTTTGTTTTAAACTACTAACTATTAATTTCATCAGGTGACCCCCTGGCTCCTGTGGTATGTGAAGGGGTAAATAACACTTGCTTATTCACTTATTCTAAACCAGTCATGATTTTATAGACCTCTGTCATGTCCCCCCTTACTCATCTGTTTTCTAAACTGAACAGTCCCAGTCTTTTAAATCTCTCCTTGTATAGAAGTTGTTCCATATCTCTAACCATTTTTGTTGCCCTTCTCTGTATTTTTTCCAACTCTAATGCATCTTTTTTGAGATGGGGCCACCAGAACTGCATGCATAATTCAAGGTGTGAGCATACCAGGGATGTATATATAGAGCAGTGCCTCCCCTTACCCATAATGCAATCTGTCCACCCCTTTCCCCACCCCAGGAACCGGGGACAGGAGAGGAACTGCGGCCAGGACTGGGGTCGGAGCTGTGGTCGGGAGCCAGGGCTAGGGCTGCAGTCGGGAGGTGTGGCTGGAGCTGGGGTCGGGGCCAGGGCCAGAGAAGCAGGTCTGCGTCCAGGAGTGGAGCTGGGGCTGAAGCTGGGGCCATGGTCAGGAGTGGAGCTGCGGCCAGGAGTGCGGCCACAGCCAGGGCCTGAGTCTAGAAGCCAGGGGCCGAGGCCGAAGCTGCAGCTGAGACTGCTGCTGGGAGCGGAGCCATGGCTGGGGCTGGGGCTGGGGCTGCAGCTAAGGGTGGGGCCACAGCAGAGCTGGGAGCAGAGTGGGGCTAGGTGGTGCTTCCTCCCCAGCCCCTATTGGGGTTGGCCTGGGCCCCACCACACTCCCTGAATGTTCCTCCATGCCCACTTAGGGGGGTACA